CGTACCGAACCATCGCCTCTACTCCAAAATAGCCCAACTAAGAACGGGATACGTGGGCCTAAATAAATATCTCCACATAATTGGACACGAGGACAGCCCCCACTGTGAAGAGTGTAGTGAGCCCGAAACAGTAGAACACTTTCTCTTGGATTGTGGCCGTTTTACAGAACAGAGAGAACGACTGTGCTAAAAAATCTTCAACCTGTACGAAGAATGGTCCATCTCAATAGCCATGTTATTAAGTGTGTTAGAAGACGATCAATACAAAGACATACGCGTCAAAATATGTGCGCTTCTAGGTAATTACATAGCCACATACATGACGCCTCTAATGACGTCAGCGCAACCTATTACCCAGTAATATCCGTTATACCGTGAGACACTTACATAATGTGACATTAACGTACTAATTCTGCTCTTGTGCAAATAGACGCCACAAACAAAATTTTAATCTAAATCCTTAATTATGTATTAATTATTTACTTACTTATAAAGGTCTTAGTCTTCGTCCCGACAGCAGCCCCGGAGACACACAAAATATCAACGGAACAGATGGCTGTGTTAGTAGGATAGTGAATTTACAACACGCACACTGTGCAATAGCCCGTTCTATATTTAGGTGGGAAATTTCCACCAGCAGTGATTTTGATTCCTGACTTCTTCTTGTTTTTTTACGCACTTAATTCAAATTTCAGTTTACCCAAATATTAGTACCTATAAGTTAGTGATTGATAATATATGGAATTTAGATTAGTGCTTGTTGGGTAAGTAATATTCACTTTGCTCACTTTGGCGAATTCATTGCTAAATGTTGGACGCCACAGAGTTCACGAGAAAGCTCACCATTTTTCTCTGCTAATCTATCCGATTTGCCAATCACCTAGCTTATCTCTTAGCCACACTCAAGCTTATCTCTTAGTCACACTCAAGCTTCAAAATTGAGTAATTATAAAGATTGTTAGTATATGGTTGCTAGATTAGTGCTTCCACTGCTTGTTTGTTAGAAAATATTTGATTTTGCTTAGCTTTAGCGAATCATGTACTGATGACACCACGGAGCTATCGAAAACTCGACGTCCGTTCTCTCCAACAGCTCTGCTCAACTAAACACCACTGATTTCTATTACACTAACTGGATAGCTCTTAGCCTATCCACGCTCAGCGTGAATGTGACGCCACCGCGCCACCACTGTGGCGCCACCTGCCGCCATCTTCCAACCCATCCCAAAAGCTGAATCTGCCGGCGTGTGCCCCAAAACATTTCAAATGGAAAATTAGAAAATGCGACTTATTCTATTATTAAAATTAGCATGAAAAAGACCTTTGATCAATACTTAAGAGATTATATAAATATGGATATGGCTATATCTAGATATATACAGCTAGAATGAAAGAGAAATGCACGATATAATCGTTTTGCACGGGACGTCACGAGTCACGTGCTAGCTAGTCGCAGCCTATTCTACTAATTATAATAATTCTTGTTACCAGTCAAATCCCATTCATATGAAAACAAACTTTGATGAATACATGAAAGATTATGAAACATTATAGATCTAGAGCTGGGAAAGATGGAACATCATTAAGAAATTTGATTTCCAGCCCTATTCTCTACGAGGAGAGAAGGAACTAAGATATATATATATATGTATATGTATATATTATAATAACGTATATGCTTATATAATATACTAAATATAACCCACGAGAGGTGGGGGAAAGACCGATATGAGTCATACATATTTACGCTATCCGAAAAACAAATGTTGATAACCATAACTAAAAATGATAAACGTAATTATAATATAAAATACTAAAACGACATCCTATTAAAGGTATAAAAACTAAAAATCAGGTTTAGTTGATAAATAACAATACACGGACCAGCTAGCATATAGGTAAATAAATTAATAAAAATGATAATATATAACAAAAGAAAACGAATACTATCGTACCTGAGTAACACAATAAAAAATAATGTAGTATAGTAATATTAAGAGAATAAAGTGTGTTTGATTATACAAAAACGCCAAAGTAATGAAACAAATTTATATTTATTTTATACAACACACACAGTTAATAGAATAACCATAGCCACATATTAATCTGATAAAAATAAATATCGAACATATAACCGTACCTTACTTCAGTCTCGACTAACTGTATATCCTATTAATACCAGTCTAAAGTCCTGTGAATCCCGGATAACGATACCGTGCCATCCCGTTGTCGATGCCGGCTGTCGTCCGTGATGATATGACAGCCCACACCACACACACTGGCTCATTGAACTTTCAAACATTGCTCCTCGCCATCATTTGATACGTGCTCCCTCGAATCGTCTGATACGTTGCTCCCCGAAAGTTGATACTTTGATCTGCCAAGACTCCCTCTCATTACATCATACCTTCCATTGATGCACACACAACTGTCGTCAGGCTGCTCACTGAAAACACAACCTGATTGCCCCAAAACGCATCAATATTCCCATATACAGCTGGAGAACCAATTAAAGATCCGCCTATTACGTTGAACGGATGCCGTTAATAAGCGAATATGGTCTCCACCCACACAACATCGGAGGGTACCCGACGTTCGATATATCGGAAAGTACTCGGGACCTATACAATCATTCGCTGCTCGCTGCGTACCCTCATTGTCCCAACGTACCCTGACTCAGCCACACTGATCATAAATCATGCAGAACCATATGCCAATTATGGCCTAGCCAAAAATGATAATTTTAGTGGGAGACACCATTTTAACGCTCCCCGCTATACTGTGGAGTAAGACCGCCGCAAGGTATGCCGCCGTCACGTCATATTGAATTTTTCCACCAATACAAACCATTTATTTTATGTAATGATAGTATTACACATAATACCATTAAACTACGAGACTACTAGCTTATAATTTTTCTAAATTATTCACTAATAAGCTGATCTCATCAATTAATACTCAATATATGTGCTATCTCACAGACTAGTGTTGGGAACGTCCAGTACGTGGGCAATGCAGGTACGCAGCCCGACATATCTCCGTATAAGCTACCCCGGTCAGTAACTCCGAATATATCGAACCGTACCCAGGTCACCCCTCCACACACCTGGGCAGACATAGACCATTCAGCCCCACCACACACACCACGGTGGGGTTTCCGCTCACAACACCAACTACCCATCACGCCGCTTCACCACACAAGCGAGCGTGCTGCGTTATAAGCATGGCCGAGCTTATCAACGACACACCACACCGTAACCACAGAAATATATAACACACATCTACCTACTAACTATAATTATGGGGGGCCGGGCTCCGCGACTGTTCCGGACGAGAGCCCGCTAGGCTAACACCACACAACCACCCATCCCACACCAAGGCGCGTACCAGGATTTTTGGGGGGGCGCAATCAGACAACGTGAAGCGTGCGAATCAGG